CACCTTCACTCCCATCCCCTGCAGCGTCTGGCGGATGGAGGGCATCCTCCGCAGCGGGATCCTGCGGGCGGGGAGGCCGTGGGCACCCCCGGCTCCCTCCCGCCCGGGACATCCAGCCGGGTGGCTCTAGGTGGCAGCAGCTCCCCGCCGGGCACGGGCCGGCGTTAGCGGAGCAGAGCCCGGCAAATCCCTCTGCATGGCAAGGGAAGCTTCTCCAGGGTCTCCTTGCTCTGTATTTTGGAAGCGGGGATGCTGCTAAGCTGGGCAGTGCTCAAAGGGAGAGGGGAAGAAGAGCAAGTGAGAGCGGAGGTGCTGGCAAGAAAAAGAAAAGGGGATGCAAAGGTGTTTTATAGCTGCTCTGAAAGCATGTGGCTACCCCAGGGGCTGCACAGGGGGGTCCTCAGTGCTCAGCACCAGCCCAAGCCCCAGGAAAAGTAAGGAGGCAGCAAGACCTGCAGCTCACGAGCAACATGCAGGGCTGCTACCTTTGCAGAGCCTGCGCTGGCCAGGGGAAGATGCCAGCGCCGCAGGTGATGGCCACAAAGAGCAGGCACCGCCGCAAGGCGCTGCTCCGTCCTGCCGGCATCGCGCGCTCTCCCGGGGCCACCTCCTCCTCCAGCAGCGGATCCCTTCGGGTCTCCAAGGGGAGGCTGCTTTTATAGCCCGAGTTCCTGCATCCGCGTGGGTTTCTCCTCCCTGGGGAGGGCTGGGGATCGGTGCCCGCTGGCACCCCATGCCGGCAGCGGGACACACGGCCCAGGCTGGCAGGTGGGCACCGCCAAGGAGCCGTGAATACCTCGGCGCCGCGGACCCACGCGCTGTGCAATTAATAGCATTGCTGCATGTCAGCGCCAGGCCATCGTTAGCACGGCGTGTTTGGCACGGGCCGAGTGCCTGCTGGTGTCAATCAGGGGAGCAGCGTTGGAGGCAGCATCCGGGCTTGCTCCGCCAGGGACACGGAGCATCCTCCAGAGCAGCTTTATTAGCCCTGTGCGAAAGGAGATGCAGAGGGTTTTCCCAAAGAGCCTCCTTTCCCAAGGAGGATTTTCCCTCATGAAAAGCAGGTGCTGGCACCAGCTGCAGCCCCCTCAGTTGCTCCAGACCATGCTGCCCTCTCAGGCGCTGCCCAGAGTGGGAAAAGCACCATCCGGCCCAGCAATGCCAGCTGCTGCCTCCTTGAATGCAGAGAACAGCAAAAACTCATTGCAGATGTGGCACTTGATGCTATGTCGAAGTAGAAATGCCTGTGGTCTGGACTTTCTCACTGCAGGCAGGAGGAGCTTGGGGATCCCACCAGCACCCTCCAAGAGCCAAAACACAGGCACAGATGGATTGAGACTGTTAATAAGACTCAGATCTGCGTCTTATTAATGCAAGACCAGAGATGCACCTAGGGGGACTTAGAGACCACATATTACCAGGAGGATGCTCAAACTGCCTGGAAAATCCCAGCTAGGGCTCAGGGGACACGTTTCTGCAAGGTTCATTGCTGGTTCCAGCCCCAGGCTCTGCTCCTGGCCCCGGTGCCCGGAGGGCTCCCGCGCTCACCCAGGCTCTGCTGTATGGGGTACCCTGGCTCCGAGCCAAACTCTCCATCCCAGGGAATCTCGATGGGAAATGACCGTGGCAGCAGTAAAAACGTTCTGGGAAGAAACCCGGTTACGTAACAGCCCCAGCATCGGAGCGCCCAGCTCCCCAGGCGCGCTGACGCGCTCCCGTTGCACACAGCGGTCATTGGGGGCACTGCCGTCATCCCGTCCCGCGGGTACCGCTGCTGAGGGGCCACCGGAGGCTGGGGGGGGCGCCCCCAAATAGGGGGGTCCCCTCCAAAGCAGGGCACGAGAGCGTTTCCCCCCGCATAGCATCGTTAAAGGGGGTGAATACAAGCGAGTGCCCAGAGGCTGTGTGGGCACCCCGGCTCTCTCCGTGCCGGAGCATCCCGGCTCCGGGCCCCCATCCCGCCAGGCTTTGCTCCGCGGGGTCAGCGGCCGGGTCCCCTGACGTCTTTTCCCACGCAGGTCGTGGTGGGGCCGGCCCGGCCTGCGTCACTCGGGGGAGCCGGGTGCCCCGGGCACAGCGGGCGCGGGGTCAGGAGCCCGGCCTGGGAGCGGCGGCAACCCGGGGCAGCGCCGGCACGCGGCGGCAACGCGGGAACGCGCTGGCAAGCGGCCACCGGGCATAAATCCCCTCCCGGGGAGCCCCGCTGGCTCCACACAGCCGAGATTCCCATAGGACAGGCCAGGGGCTGCTGGGAAGCGGCTGGGGAAGGGGCTTCCAGCTCCCCTTTCACTTGGAAAATTGGGGGCACATCCGCGAGAGCCTGGGCATGTCCCATGGATGCTGGATGTGGCAGCACCTGGGGAGGGATGGATGGACAGACACTCACCTTGCAGGGCTCGCGGTGGAGCAGAGATGGGCTGGGAAAAGTGGAGGGGCAGCAGGGTGGCCCCTGGGGACACCCAGCTCTCTGCACCCCAGCTCACTGCAGAGCTGCAGAGAAACAACCCAAACAAACCATTTCCAGCGCGCTTTATCAGCGGGGAGGGTGCTGAGTTTGTCCCACGCAGCCTCAAAGCATCTGTAGCTTCTGCTACCTGCAGTGACACTCACCCCACGTGTTTGCAGCAAGGCCACCAGGCAGGACAGCAATTCTCCCACGTGCTCCTCATGGAAATCCGCTGCGACTCCATGCAAACGGCTGGCGGTTCACATCAGTGCGTACCTATAAAGATCTCATCTGGAAATAACATGGCAACGAGCTCTTAGCTTATTTCCTGTCTGCTTTCAAGGAAAAACGATCGGGCTAAGAATGATTTCAAGGAATAAAAATACTTTCCGAAGAGAAACAAGTGCTTTCCTTGTTTCATTTCCTTGTTTCATTTTGTATTACAGATAAGCTCCTGTAATGCTGGGCTCATCTGAACAAGTGTAACGCTTAAATTGGGAATGTGAAGTACGCAGAACAGTCCTTCTCTAAGCAAGATCATTAGGGGATTTCACCAAACAGTCCCCTAAGGGACCTTGGAAAATCATACAAATGGAGAACCTCCCCTGACCTTGAGGGTTGCTCCTAATTTATGTGTCCTGGGGAGCTCGTTCTGCAGAACATCTTCCACCTGATGCAAACTGCCAGCAAGGCCATGCTTCAGTCAGGAGGGAACAGGTTTCATTCAAACACAATAATTAATTCTTGCAATTTAGGAAGGGGAGCCGCACAGGGACCAACTTTGATGCAGCTGCCCTGGTTTAATTAAACTTATGCTTCCCGTGCACTCGTAGAAATGCGCTTCATATCCGTTCAGCTTGTGCAAAGCTGAACGTGAGTCGACGGGGCCGTCTCCTGCGCTGCTCTCCGCAGAGCTCCGTGGAGCGATGCCGATGCACATCCAGCTTGGAAGCCAAACTCCTCTCCCTCCAGCTCCCGTCCTCCAGCAGGGAGTGGGCCCTCAGCAAAGCAAGTCCTGACAACGATGCTCAGAGCTAGGGAGCACTATCTCCATCTTTGTACTCTTCTCTCAAAGTATTTGCTTCACCCCCCCAGCATCTCTTGATTAATTAATAATCCCAGATGTCATTTGCTTTTTCATGGTCACTGAATCTGAAAAGGGTAATTTACTCTCCTCCGATCAGGTCATGAAATGTTAATGGGCTTTAATGGGTGTTTTCCTAACCTCCCCTGCCCTCTCCCACTGATCTCCAGACAGCTCCACTCTCCACAGCCCATATTTGTGCTGGACTCCTTGGGAACACGGCTCCATGTCCCGCAGTGAGCCACCACGGCGAGGGGACACGGGGAACAGCCACCTCCAGCCATGGCCATGAGAGGGTTCCTGCATCCCCTCCAACCGTGGCCGTGGGATGGTCCCTGCGTCACCTCCTGCCATGGCCATGGGATGGTTCCCATCCCATCCCCCGCCATGGCTATGGAAAGGTCCCTGTGTCACCTCCAACCATGGCCATGATGCCTTTCGGTGGCACTAAGAGGAGCTGGAGCAGACCTCAAGCCACAGGAACATGTCCCACATTTACTTCCAGACACGGATTTTATTTCAACCCAACTCTTTAAGGGCAGATAGAAGAGGAAAACATCCCGCAGCGCCGACCGCACAGCTCGGGGCCGTGGCAGCCTCCTGTGCCACCCGCTCGCTCCCGGCGCGCCGCGGCCCGCTGTCCCCGTCCCCATCACGGGCAGCGCCAGCGGTCCTGGTTGCAGTCGCGTGGGGCCGGAGCTCACTCGCTGGGTCCTGTTTCCAGGACCACTTGTCACCGCGGTCACACGACAGAGCCGGTGTCGCCGACTTTCTGCAAGAGCTGCAAGGGTGACAATTCCAGATTAGCATCAAATGCTCCGGTGCAGCCTCCCGGAGCGGTGGAGATGCAGGACCTTGTCCCCACACGGAGCTGCTGGTTCACGTCGCCCACAGACCGCAGAGCACAGCGCCCTGCTCACCTTGCTCAGCAGCGGGATGTTCCCCAACGTGCCCAGATATCCAAAAGCCACCGGGAAAAAACTCCTGTATGAGAACACAAGTCCCTGTTAATGCCCAAGCTGAGGGTGCTCGCAGGGGTCTGGTGGGGCCGGGGCAATGGTGGGAGCTGCAATGTGCTCCCCAGAGCTGCTCAGGGGGGTTCTGGGCTGGAAAGCCCAATGACAGGGCTGTAATTTGGGAGAAGGTTGCAAGGAAGAGGCGTTTGGTGGAGCACGGACCTGAAGAGGGTGATGAAGCCATAGGCCTCCAGCAGCATGCCCAGGAGGGGCCAGCGCATGAGGACGATGAGGATCCCCCCCAGGAAGAAGCTGGTGCCCTTCAGTTTTGGCCTTTGGAAGAAGAAGTTGAAGGTCCTTTTGAAGCCGATGATGAAGACCAAGCCAGAGAGGAAGAGGATCTAGCAGGAGGAAATGGCAAGAGCTCTGCTTGGATGGTCTCTTCTCTCCTGCTTTGGCACCGGTGTCTTCTTGGTCCAGCCCAGTGAGGAGAGCCCCTCGGGCAGACCCAGCCTGGCACTACTCACATTCCCGAAGGCCAGGAGCACTGAATCAAAGTACAAGAGCATCCCAAAGAGGATGAAGAAGAGGCCGAAGCCGACCAGCCCCAGGCCGATCCCTGCGGAGGACGGGGCCCGTGGTGAGGGGTCTGGCACGAGCTCAGCACCCTGCACGGGGCTCCTCATCCCACATCCCAGCAGGGAATGCCACCAAGCCAGGTGTCCCTCCAACCGCTCCAACCCCCACGGCCCCTGTTCCCGAGCACCCGTGGGACCCGGTGGCACCAGGACAGCGCCAATCCCGCCCCCGTGCCCTGTTTACGCTGTAAGTCCGTCAGCGGCACCATCTTTCCGGGCCGGGGCGGCTGTGACCCTTGGAAAGGCCTTTAGTCCCCACGTCATCCTGCCAATCATTAACTCGCTGCAGCTCCGCCACGAGACATCGCCCCGGGCGGCCGTCCCAGCTCCATCCTCTTCCTCCTGCTCCCAGGAAGGACCCAACCACCCTCGGAACGATCCTGGGACCTGGGAGTCCCTGGGTTGCATCTGGCGTAAGGACCTGCTCCGTGCGCCGCCTCTTTACAAAACCTGGTGTTTTTATGCGTCAGCTCTGTACAAACTTGCAGGTTTTAGATGCATTTCCCACCCACGAGAGCTGACCATAGAGCAGTAACACTGAAAAATCAACAGTACTGGGAGGATTACCCCAAAAAGGGGAGGGAAGGAGAATGCCATGAGTCACAGACTGAAGTGTAGCCAATTGAGCCCTGTCTTTTTGCCCTAATATTATGATCTGCGGTCACCTCCATACAAAAGACACGGATATCATGTTGTTTCTTAGATACTTTTATTTCTCTAACACTAGCAAAAAAACCCAGAAAACAAATGTTCCCCTTCCACCCTCCCCACCCCAGTGCATAAATAGATTTCCTCCCGATGCAAATCCTGAAATCCTGTCTCGGTTGCAAGTCACTGGTATATGAAGTGTTATGAAAAAAAAACACAATAACCAAAATAAAGAATTAAAACAACTGTTAAAAAACCCCAGGTCCACAATACTGCAGTTGGGGGATCCTAGTGCATTGGGCAGATGCCTGGGGACTGGGGGGGTCCCCCTGGGTTGGATCCCACCCCACAGCCAGTGTAAAACGGGGGGTGGCTCCATAGGGATCTGGAGCACCCCAATTTACACGGGCCGAGGAGCCTTCCACCACGGGGAAATAAAGGTATCACTGCTGCAAACTTACAGTTCTCTTTATATTTTATTTTAAATAAATTTGCTTTTAATAAAAGCAGAAAAAATATATATTTTTAAATAGTTTCTTTTTTTTTTCCTTTTCCTCTGATAAATTGGCAAAGAATCTGCTTTCATAACTTGGCAGGGCTGGTGCCAACAACCCTGCGGAGCGAGAGAAAGTTAGCACAAAACAAAACCTCCCAGAAAAGAAGAGAAAAAAACAAATATATATATATATTTATATATTATAAATGTATAATTTCCATAAAACATATATTAAGGCATGTAATAGCAAAATAAAGGGCCAGCTTTATGAGCTAAAGGGGCTGCGGGAGGGTCCCGGCGCGGGCGGGGGTCCTGGGACACTATGTGTATTGCTACGATCAAAGAGCCCGGAGGGCCGGGGCTTTGCGGGAAGCTCACGGACACGAGGGGCATCCCGGCACGGAGCCGGTTGGGAATCGCGAGGCTCTGGGAGCGGCATCCGAGGCTGAGGGTCCAGGGATGCTCAGCCTGGCCTGAGCTCAGCCCCTGCTCACGGCGTCGTGGTGTCTCCTGGTGAAAAGCTCACATGGGGTTTTGCATTTCCAGGCAGAACTGGCCTCGTTCTCCCTTTGGAAAGCTAAAGGAAAGGGAACTTGCTAGGGGGAAAAGCAAGCAAAAGGGTTGGGGGGGAATGGCAAGGCTTGGGGCTGACACTTGGTGCGTAGGGACCCGGTCCCATCCCAGTACGTGAGGCCCTGGGCACGCGAGTCCGTGTGGGAGCAGTGAGTCCGTGTTCGTGCTCCCCCTTGTGCCGTGCCCACAGCTGGGGCATCGCCCTTGGGGACATGCCAAGGCCAGGTCCCCGCTGCCACCACCTACAAGTGCCCGTCCCGCGTGGCTTTGCTCCCGCTCCGCTATTCCCTGGGAACGTGCCCGTGTTCCCACGCTGACCTGCTGCTCCGTGTCCCCACACCGACCTGCTGCTCCGTGTCCCCATTCCAACCTGCTGCTCTGTGCCCGCTGCGCGGGTAAAAGCACCATCCACGGTGGGGACTGGCCGGTCTCCACGCAGGAGAGCCCCTTTGCAGACCCTTAGGGGCCCAGTACAGCATGGAGAACCACGGGAGTCCTACGCTCCTCCGGTGCTGTCCCGGGAGACCTCGGAGTTGTGCCGGGCACAGATGCTGTCGTTGCAAAGCCCCTGCCCCGATGTCTGTGCTCGACCCAACGCGCTGGATGCAGCAGATCCCGCACGGCTGGAGCCCCGTGTGCCCCCTCGGCACCGCGGCTCTTGTGGGCAAGCTCCTGCGCCCGCACATCTCCCGGCTCCGGCATTTCTCCGGCTTGGAGCAGAGCGCAGGGCCTGCAAGGACGAGGGAGCTGGTACGAGACCAGGCCCGTCCGCTACATCTCCTGCTCCTCCGACTGGGGCGGTCTCGCTGTTCGGGAGAGGAAGGGGATCCAGGAGAACGGTGGCCGAGGAGAGGTTCGGTGTCGTGCCGTGCTGGGGGGCTAAAACGTGGCCCCATGGAACTTGCCAGCAGTGGCAGCAGCCAGGGCTTGCGCTGGGGGGAGAGGAGAGTGCGGCTGAGCCTGGCGCAGCGCCCCAGAATGTCCCTGTCACGCGTTCCCGCTGAAACCCAACAGATTCCACCCCGGTTCCAGCCCCATGATCCCACTCCATGGAGGCTGTTCCATGGGGGCCATTTGATCCATGGGCTCAGCGCACTGTTAGCTGGAGCAAGCAGCGATGGACGAGCGCGGGGCAGAACAGAGCCCAGCGGGGTTAGAACGGCCCCCCGGGCGCATCCTCCCGGCGCAGGCTGCCATGGAGAGCGCGTGGGATGGAGAACAAGAGAAAAGGTGCTTACGTCCGGCTCAGACACGCATAAAATGGCTGTTGTCGGCGCCCCGGGATGGTTCGGACGAGAGGGGGGTGGTCGGTGGGGTCGGGGGGGCTGGGGGGGGGGG